TTGATTTGAAACTGTCTCATTGCTATATGTTTATCAATAAAACTTTGAAGAGAAAAAAAAATAAAATTCTAGGAAAAGAGACAAAAGCACTAAAATAATATTTTACAAATGTAAATCTTAAAAAATTGCCAAGTTGGACACCACTAAAATTATTAAAAGAAGAGAGAATTTTTATATGAGGTATAAATATCGCATGAGTGTTCTGAAATTTATAAAAGCTAAGGATGTAGTGAAATTGAGAACCTAAAAGCAGGGTGTTATTTATAGAAGAAGCAAATAATAGATGCATCAGTGTGACAGATCATAAAAAATAAACTCTGTATCTATATCTGTCTCTATGTATCTATTGGTATCTCTCTGATTATCATCTATCCTTTCTAGCATATTTAATTGACTCATTCAGTATTAAATTATATTATTCATAGTGTAAACTCTTTTCAAACTGATGTAAATAAATGCACACATGCATGAAAAGAATTCAGAAATATTAAATTATTTGAATCTAAAAATCATAAACAACACAAAAATATATTATGGCCCCTGTATTTGTATAGCAGAACGAATGTTTGTTACTTTTTTCTTCCCATTTTATCAGGAATTTAAATTCCTTCCTGAAGCCCTAAACACTTTTTCTTGGGGGATACATCAGCTTAGAAATAAAACCTCATATTTGTAAGTGTGTTGTCAGCCACAGACAGAGCTCTCAGTGTATGTGTCTAGAGCAGAGCCACCTGCAAGAGCAGCTTGATAATCTGAGCATGTGTGAGGACAGCAGATGACAATAGGAGAGTAGGTAGCACATTCTCTCCTTTTAGGAATATAAACAGATCCTACAACCTTGAAGTATTTTTATAATCTGATAATGTTGGTACCTGATGGGGTTCACACTCCCCACTACACTCAGAAGATAGCCAATCAGCCTGGGATCTCTTTAGTTATTATCCTATGAGGGGATAGCTAGACTCCCTGACTGTCCCTCTCCAAGCTGCTAGTTAGTACCAAATGCACACTAGCCCATCCACCATTCCGAGTCTGCCTCCCTCAAAATCATCTTTCAGTGCATTCTATACTGAGGGCTATTTCCAAAAAATAAAATTATTCTTCTACTTTTCAATACATGCCATGAGCAATTAATCCTCTCACAAGGATTAGGAGATTTTGGGCACAATTCGGAGCCACTCCCAAAGCATTCTAATTTAGCACCAAGAAGAAACACTAAGTAGCCATCACCGGAAGTAAATGTTTGTATAGTAAGAAAATATTTAAAAATACACATTTTAGGAAATGATATAAGTAAAACACACATTTAGGGTATAATGATAAATTCCTGTAATGATAGCTGCTCAGTAGTCTGAAGCAGGAGAAACTATTGAGCTTAAGACTTTGCTGGGAGCATACTCAGGAGAGCAATCCCTGTCTCAAAAACTATGTGAGCATAAGGAAAACGTCTACAAATAAAAATAAAAGGAAACACCTGGACATTATAAGGAGTATGAGATAGGTACAGATCCCATCTGCACAAGGAAAAGGCCCTGGTTCCTTGATCTGATGTTCCTGTTCCCAAACATAGTGCAGACTGAAAGTGACCACAAGTGCAGCTGCTTAATGTAGTGGTCTGGATTCACAAGTAATGAACGCCTCTACCACCCAGATAAAAACAATAAAACAAAGTTTTTAAAATAAATGGTTAGTATGTAACACATACATGATAACACAGGAGAAAGGAAAAGCACAGATAAAATTACATCACCAGGTCTGATGAGCTTCCACATCTATAATTTCAATGCCGGTGCTGAGCGTCCCTGCATGTTCTTCAGAGTTCTGGTTGGTGGAGCCCTGGGCAGAGTGTCCTCTCTGTGGATGGAATCTCAAAGTTCCCCAACAAGACTGGTCCATTAAATACCAGCTGATACTCAAGGGGAAACATGTGAACGTTGTGTGTGACCAGAAGAAGGGAGTCTGAAGCCTCCAAGCTCTGGCCAACTACCTGAGGCAAAAAAACAACTGTATCTTCTAGACAGGTAAGAGAAAAAAACTAGTTGAGAGCCTGCCAGGCTATCAGTGAGTTTCTGCACTTATCAGGATGTCCACCAAATATCCTAATCTTCAATCCTTAGAACAAGGCTGTAGCACTGTACAATGTCTAAGGAAGGTCTTTCTGTATATAATTTTAACTCTTTCTATGGTTACTAGTGCAGGACTCTGCTCTGCATCATCTATACTACTCAGGCAGTCACTGTTGCAATATCATCTGCTTTCCTCACAATACCACATATCATATGCTAGAGTTCCATGAGTCTGATTTATAATTTATTTTCATGTTTGACATCACACATGGTAGGATAGTTTCTCAATAGAGAAGTTATACTAAAGAAGAATTGCATTAGAATGTATAAGTCTCACAGATGATTGAATCCCTAATACTGGGTTTACTGTGTCACTCCAGGAGTTGTGAAACAGCCTAAACTTCATTTGAAATACTAACTATTTCGTTGCAAGAAGATGCTCCTCCAAGCAGAATAGATTATAGGTCAGAAGTTAGTCTGTAAAATGGATGGAAATTTTAGGACTATTCAGAAAAAAATATCAGCAATACCTTGATCATCTTAAGAAATGTTTTTCAATAGCTATTTAGCATTCAATTCAATCTTAGGTGTTCAACTGAAATGAATACCATCATTTAATGATGTGCAGTAGAATCAAGGTCAAAAAATAGATAATCCATGGAATGTGATGTAGTGTGGGGTCCCTGTCAACTTTCAGGATTGAGTACAAGAAGATATGAAAAGAAAGAAACAGCAAGAATATTCTCTTCCCATATTCAAAAGTATAATAATAGGACATAGAAATGTTATAGGTAGGTCTTATTGGGGGCCTGTTGCTCATATCTGGGTGGCAGGGCGAGATACCACAGTAAAGAACACCGGTACACCTATTTGAAGTTCCCTAGCCATAACCTAGGCTCATATTCAGAAGAAAACAAATAAATAAAGAAGACACTTACGGCGTGATATAGAATTCTCTGAGAGGCTCTATATGAAAGGTGCCAGTGTAGTAGATATAGAAATAAAGAAATAAAAAGCAGCCAATCACCACGTCTCCATCCTTGCGCACACTAGTGCTCCTTTGTTGAAGGCAGGCTTCATTATCAAAAGTACACACTAAGACAGGAAGCTGCAGGAGAAGGAAGATGCCAATCAAAGGGAACATCGGGAACATTTTAGATGCGTATGCAAAGCTTTGGACTGAGTGAAGTGAAATTTGGCCTGAAGCATTTATAAAAAGATGTTGTGTGTGTTATTTGTTTCAAAGTGACACTGCTTGTCACCCAGGTGGACATTCTGCTCATGGCCCGTGCCTGCCTCATATCCCTGGAGAAGTTCACCACCAGTTTTGCCTTGGGCTCTACATCTGCGTTCTGGAGTCCGGAAGAAAAACAGAAGACAGAAATTATGATTTAGTAGCATTTTAAGCACCTGAAGCCACCATGATGTAATCCAGTTCCAGTGATAGCAACATCGCAGGGGTCACCTCCTCTTGGCAGATTTGATTCAGGACCTTTTCAATAAGCTAGTGGCACAGATGCCATTAGAGGTGTTGCTAATGGATTGCACTAGAGGGTTTAATATTAGGGATCTCCTGAAATAGTCTGGAAGGCCTCAAATTCAGGCAAAAATATTGTACATTGTGCATTCTAAGTGGAAATTTATCAGCTATAACCTGACAAGACCATGATTAAAAGTTGCAGCCACAGAACATTGCCTGTGTAAGTGTTCTCTGTGTGCTAGTCACAGGCAATGTCATCGGTATTGCTCTGCACTGGTGGACATACAATTGGAAGTTACTGATAAAGCAGTGAGGAAATATAATGCTTTTTTAAAAAAAATCTTTTCCAGCTAGGCTATTGTTTTGCAGTTTAGGCTGAACTTGAGCTCAGTTTGTAGCTCAGTCTCATCTTAAAGTTGCAACTATCCTCCTGCCTCAGTCACCTAGCTGCTGTGACTAGAGGTAGGTATGCACAAGGACAGCCTTACACGACACTTTTCAGATGTAGAAGTTAACCTACTTCCTCACTGCCTTGTTCTTTCAAGTATCTTCATGACAACTTAATATATTGTCAGAATCCATTTCTGTTCCTAAAACAATGAAATCCTAGGGTTTATGATTTTATGAAGGCATGAGTCTGGGTGGAAAATTTCTCTTTTTTCTCAATCTAAATCTGGGGAGCATGTGGAAAATTACTATTTCTCATCATGGCTCAGTGGTCTAAAGCACCTACTTAGAACAAGCTTAGCAAAGCACAGGGACCGCGGTTCAATCCCCCAGCACCACATGCCAGCCAGCCCCGCCCCCAGGTGGGCTGAGCTGGCCACACACACACACACACACACACACACACACACACATAAATAAAAAAATTTAAAAAAATTTTGTGTAGCAGGGAAGCACTGGCAACCTTTAATGCCTTGAAATTCATTGGAACTATCAGGGAGGGCGGATTATTCCATACAATAATGTGTTGGTTCAGTGCGTGTGCTTCTTAGAATCTAAGTAACCAGCACAAAGAGTGAGCCTTAATGTGCACTTAGGCTTCACTTATTCTATAGGTGTCAATTTTGGCTTATAAATTGTGACATGATAATAACAGACAATCTGTTAAAGATGGAAGAACACATTGATTTTAGTAAAGATAATCTTTAAAATGAAAATATAAATTTAGAGAAAATATTTCCAATATTAAAGATGTTATCTTTATGTCCTTTTTAGCGTTTGAAAATTATCTAGCCAACATAAAGTTGGATACAAATGAAAAATCTTCAAAGAGATTTAAAAGCTTTTTCAGAACTAATAAATTCTTAATAATTTTGTAGCAACCTTAGCAAGTGCCACTTTTGTCTACTTGTGAAGTTGAGAAGTGTAACTAAGTACCTGAGCACTTCTACATTCTGTTGTGTAGACCATCTGCCGCAGAGTAGTTTTTCAGGGTCGAGGATGTTGAAAAGTAGCTTCATTTTGTCCAACTGAAAAGTTTAGAAGTTCAAGCAGGAGACGGATCCTCCCTTTGTAAATGTCTTGTCCCTTGCAAAAGTAGGTCAGGGAGATGATGTCAGTGCTCAACCTGCCCCAGGTGAAGCCCTCTAACAATTGAAGGGGGGACAGAGGCCTTATCCCCACTTTTGGCCTCATTACTTTTGCTGTTTGTCGCCCTCATAACCCGTTCCCACTGTGCCATGCCATCCTACCTTGAAGCCATCTGATTACAGACTAAAAGCTTTAGAAAGTGTAGCTAAATAAAGCCTTCCTCCTTTAACTGTGGGTATTGGGTATTTTGTGAAAAACAAAGAAAGAAATGTAAGTAGCACAATAATTACACTACAGGATAATATATTGAATTATATATTATTACTAGGAAGTTTAATAAATTGTATAAAAATATTTTTACGTGAAAACATTTCATATCAGTTAAGCAGTATATGGGAATTTGTACCCAATAAAGCATGAATGTATTTGAGAACACACCTGAGTGTTGTACAAAAATGCATGAATCACTATCCTCAAGATTTCCTCTCTAAATTGGATCAGGATGTTAACTGATAGCATCGTGATTCTACTGTAATGGTGACGCATGAAGTTTTGTACTCGTGCATGTAATCTAAACAAAACCAGGGTGTCTCTAGAAATTAAGAGAAGGTCAATAGGGTAGATATGGATTCAACCTATCTATGTCTCTAACATGGAAATGCCATGCAAGACTTTAGTTCATCATAATATTTTAAATGCCCCAGAAAGTAGTTAAATGAAGAGTACAGGTTGAACATACATAAGACCTTGTACATGATCTCCTGTGCCACACTAAGTAAACAGAAGTCCCTGTCCTGCCTGGACATTCATGCCAGAGTTCAACTGATTTGAAGCCATTTCTCCTAACTTCATATAAGGGAGGCAGGCAGTGTCAGGATAGCTAAGAAATCCTGGTGAGCAATGCTCCACTTGTCCTCAGCTTTGCAAGAGACCAGCTGAGATGTCAGCATCCCCCTCTATCACCATCACTGTAGCTCTACTCAGCTACTCCTTCTGTTCCCGCTGGTGGAGGGAGCATTGAGATCCCTGATCCTCCCACCACCAAGAGAGCCTTGTAGAGCTTTAGCTCACTTTCCTCATCATGGGATCCTTCCTGAGTTGCAGCATGCTTCTCTGCTTCTGAAGTGCAAGCCAACTGAAAGATAAAAATATGGTCCTGTTTTGTAGTTTGCACTGGTGTTAATGGGCACACACAGTTACAGTTATTGCTTCCAATTCTTTCTGGTTTCTTTTCTGTCTCTGTTCCATGGTCTTGAATTCTGCATGGAGCTGAGGGAGGAAGAACTACAGTGTACATTTTCGGTGGTATATGGAAAGGAGCAGTAATACTTAATTCTTGTTTCTCCTTTTTTCCATTGTGCAGGCTACAATGGATTGTATGTGGACAAAGGTGGATTTGAGCCTTCCTGATTTAAAAGAATCTATGTCTCACTACAGGACTGTCAGTGAGAATTGGACTTTTAATACAGGCACTGACAGAGACAGAGACTCTATGAACTCGTGGCAGTAGAAACACTTGACTCAGTTTCTTTCCAGTTGTAGGGGTTGTGAGGATCTGTAACCTGAGGCTGGCCTTACTTTTCCTTCCTCGTTACTCCTCTTTGCATTCTAATGGACTGGGAGAGTTTGCTGCAATGTCTTCCCCTACAATCCAGCCTTAATTCTGCACTCCAACATTGATGCAGCCAGACAGCATGGGATCATTTCTCCACTACATTATGCATAAAATATGTATAGTCCAGAAACTCTATCCATACATACATGATCTTAGTGGTTAGTTTTTTTCTGCAGCAAGGCAAAGAATCTGAATTCAAAGGATAGAAAACGGCTTTATCGCCGTTTACTAGGATACAGAATGGATCATCAGCATGAAGGAAGGATGATGCTCTAACCGGAGACAGGAATCATGAGATTTGGACAGGGGCAAAGATTGAGGATTTGGCTCTGTAACACACAAGGAGCTGATTGGAGGCTTCCATGTGTGCATGGGAAACTAGAAGGAAGTTGTAGCCAGGGCTGGAGTGGGGAAGGAGAAAGTGCTCATTCGAAGCTAAGCTGTTATTTTGTGATTCAGCCATGTTTAATCAGGTCCATGATAATTTAGCAGTGAGTGCCAGAGCCTATTTTTCCCATCTTTTAGTTGTTATGAAGAGGTGATGAATCTCTTAGACTTTTTCCTGTTGAATGGGTGCATCGTTTATAGGGCAATGAGGATTGACAAGATGATGGTTCTCACCCATATAGAAGTTAGTACCGAGTATTTCAGCCAGGATAAGCAGTTTATCATTAGTGAAGTCTCACGTCCAAGATTGAATAAACCTTGTCTGGCTTCAGAAAGTCATCTTGAAAAAATTCAGAGTCAGGCAGGATAGAAAAGAACTAGCAAAAGTAGTGAATCAGAAACCCGCTGGAAAAGAAACATGAATTAACATGTTGTTTTTGAACCCTTTGCAGGCAAAGATGTGTAGATCACAGAGTTTGTGATGACCACCCTGTCAACAAGGGCTTAGGATCAGGAAGATTGGAGTTGTTGGGTGGAGTGGAGTTGTCTGGGCATAACTTGGTTTGGGTGATGTACAACCAGGAAGGCAAGCTGCCTACATTTACCACTGTTGCTGTAGAGAAGATGACCAGCTGGGGGCCTGCCCATGTACAATGTTATACTGTAGGCTTAGAGGATTAAGATATATTAAATTTCTTGGACATAGAAATGGTACCAATTGAGTAGTATCTGTCGGCTGTGTGAGGCAAGCATCCATGTGTAGTAATAGGAGGTACTGGAGCAAGGATGGAACAGGAATATTGACAACAATGGTAGAAGATTATCAGGAGCAGGGAGGTTATGAAACAGAAAAGTCTTCCATACATAAGCTCAAAAGGACTTAGAGATGTGGGGGCCATAGGAAGTGCCTTAAGTCTAACTAGAGACAAGGGAAGAATTTGAGGTTAAAGCAGGGAAAGGATAGGAAACCTTTGGTAAGGTGGGGTTTGAAAAGATCATTTGCCTCTATTCCCATTGAAGTATGGGGGCTCTTGGAAAGTGGCAAGTGCAGGGAAAGGCTGTGGGATACTTGAGGCAAAGTAGTACAGGGTTCCAGGGGTGGCACAAGTGGAACTGGAGATGTCTCAGAGTATATGGTCAACAAGGGAGAAGGGAGAGAAGAGTTGGTCACATATTGAGGTTGGGTATGTAGGACAACCATTGTGGGGAGAAAAAAGAGGAAGAAAAGTGGAGCTTTAGGAGATGACCTTTCCCCATAAGAGGTGTGAGGCATGTTGGGATAGCAAGGAAATGATGAGGGAAAATTGTCTGGAGTTAAGAAGGAATAGACCCTGTCTGTATGGGTCATGTAGATCGGCCTTTAGCACCCAGTATGGAGACTGTAGATGTAATACAGTAATGTGAAAACTCAGGAAGAACATTGCATATCCCCCCTGTGTGAGCAAGGAAAGTGTCCTACCTGAGATGTCCAGTGACACTCAGGCTCTGACAAAGATACCTCAGTTGGGGCCATGAACCCAGACCCCATTTTTTCTCTTCAGAATGAAAATCAAGATGGTCAATTATTGGTGGATCTATCTGCCTCAATTTTTCCTATGATTTATTGGAATTGAATGAAAGAGCAATCACATTTGTATTTACAGTGATCCTCAAATGTATAGATGGGACCAAGTCCCCATGGTGAGTTCAGGTTGAGGCCCGCTAATACCCTGTGATCTTCTGCACAATTGAAGCAAGCTCCAGGTGCAAATTGGGTGGCAGCATTCTTAAGGCTTAGCATTACGTTACCAAGGTACTGCTTTCATGGGAATCCTGAGTGTCATAGCCCAAACCTGTCACTTGTGTATACATCATTTTTTCTCTATTATTTCACACATGGAAAGCCTGATGAAATAATTTTCCCCATGGTATTTGAGGACTGACTTCCATCTTTTGAAGCTTGGCACAAATGTGAGGAGCAGATCAGGATGGAAAATACAGGTTATGAAAAATTGTTCCTTCAGGAGAATCTGGGTCTACCTTAGCATCCTTAGTTAGGACTAATACATTTAATTATTAGTATTTTATTTGAGAAATGAGCACCTTAAAATATAAAGTGTGACCAGAGAGCTGTTATTTTTAATCAACCATGGATATTGTGATGGTTAAATCCCCGTAGGATATTAACAGACAAGAGTTACAGTATTACTGAGAAAATTAGACATCAATAGTAATACATACTAGAGGTAGTATAATAGTGACAATGAAATCCTCATTTTGTCTCGGCGTCTCTAAATGTAATGGTGCCTACACAGCATACATGTCACATGCTTTTGCTAGAAAATTATCGTTTGCCTGATGAACTCATGGTGGCTTGTCATGTACTCCTTATTACAAAGATCTGGAGCATAAGAGAAAGGCATATGTTTAAATCTGGAAGAAACTATCATTGTCAGTATTATATTGCGGAACACTGTGCATTTTTAAGGCATGAATATATTAAAAAACTTTATCTTCAGTAAGAAAAAAGACTACCTGGTGGATGAATTAGATGAACAGAGGAGAGGGAGGAGTAGAGAGTGTCAGAAAGTGTGGTGACTACAAGGGTTTGAGGCCAGGCAGGAGGCTGTTTTGATTGAGGAGAAAAATACAGAGGGTACCTCATGACCTTTTATTATTCAAGATACTTGAAACTAGACAAAATTTTAATAATTTATTTTTCTTTTATTTTTAAATATATTTGGAACAGGGTCTTGCTACACAGCTTTGACTCATAATGATCCTTCTGATTTCAGTCACCTCAGTGCTGGGATTACAGATGTACACCATCACGCTCCGACTTTGTGGCTGGCTCAGTGCATTTGTGAGTGGGGCCAGCTTGGCATGTGGCACCAGGGATTCAAATCTATTCAAAATCTATTTGAGTGATCTTGCCTGCCGAAAAATTTATTAAATAAGCATATTGGTCCCAACAAAGTGTTCTAACGTAGACTCAGATTTTCCTGAAAGAACAATTGTTATTAATTCCTATTTTATATTCTGATCTGGTCCTAACATTTGTGCCAAGGCTAAAAGGACAGATATTGGCCCTCAAACTCTACAGAAAATAAATGGTAGTAAGATAATCAACAGTGAGCATAAATAATAAGAATCAATGAAGGGTCGGGGAGATGGCTCAGTGGAATAAGCGCTTCCCTGGCAAGCGCAATGGCCTGAGTTCAATCCCCGGTTCAAAAAAAAAAAAAATCAATAGAACAAAAGTCTAGAATACAATTCAAATTGAAATATATGATATTTACCAGGTGGATTTTTGGTGACAATAAAGGATTTTTAAGGGGAGGTCTGGCCATATGCCAAGGAGATAACAGAAGTTTTAGGGAGCTATACCCTTTCCATTCAGGTCATAGCCTGCCAGTGTTGAGTTTATATTTTGGCCAAGACATCCGGCAGAAAAAGATTAAATTTTAGCTTTAGAGTCTCTTGGAGGCAACACTGCCCAAGGATCATGAGGACAGTTTTTGAAGGACTGCCTTGACTTTGGGTATGACAGCAATGATGACTGCATTGGCAGTGGACCAACAACTTCACACCCTAGGAGAGATCGTCCTCTTCTCCTAAGAGCATGAAGCATGAGAGAGCTAATCCCACACCTGTATTCTCCGTTATCATTAGAAATCAGAGAGGGGTCCCCAAAGATTAGAAAGTAACTGTCATGCCTTGGGGACCAAGGGCAGTAACCTCACCGAAGGAATGTGAGGATAGCTTTTTTTATCCAAGGGTCGTGGAGTTGATGTCTCAACATGGACACATGGATTTGAGATAGGAAACTCCCAGTTTGAGAAATGGCTCACCCAAGAATTGAGGCTGCTGGGTACTGGGTGTAGGGTAACAATGACTGATGGCAGGAAGAACAGGAGTGGCTTTAGGGATCCCAAAGACTAGGGGAGGGAAAGCCTGCCTCCCTCTACCACCAGGATCTACGTGGCTCACTGATGTGAATCACAGAATCAAAATGTTACATTTCTCAGGGGAGATACAGAGGAGTAAGAGAAAAGGACAGAAAAAGATTCAACTGCCTTTGAGAACAACATGGAGAGGATTGATGGCAGGGAGAAGCAAACATCCTCTGGCCTGAGACAGGAGCCTGAGACTTTATGGACATTGCATAGGTGCAGAGTTTGAGGGGCAGATTCAGTGACACACAAGGACCTGACTCCAGGCTAAGGAAGGAAACAGGAAGTTGTATCCAGGACTGGAGTGAATAAGAAGGAGGAAGTTGGTATCAGGAAGGTAAGCTGTGGTTTTGGGATTCAGGCATATTGATTCAGGGCCATTAAGCAGTCTGTACTCAGGTCAGAAACTACTAATGTTAGCAAAGGATTTTTAAACCAGGTTACATGAAAACATTGACACAATTATATATAGGGAAAATCACTACTAAACACTAACAAATGCAATCCTTTGTTAAAATACAAACATAGCATCTTGCGATCTTAAATGAAAAGTACTTATGACATAGAAAGTGTGCTTTCTGGAACACCTGTTTCAGAGAAATGCTTAAGTGGTTAAGGACATTCAGGCCAATAAAATTGTGTGTTCAAATTCATAGCAGGTTTGAAACTTCAAGAAGAAGCAAAATAAAGGTTAATAATATAACGAACAGCAAACATAAATAAAGTTCATTGTAGATACAATGGAACAAAATTCTAAAATAAAATTCCAAACGAAGAATGTGATAGTTACAATTACACGTGTAGTACTGCTAAGGAAAGAAGTAATAGTGCCTTCCTTAGTGTAGAAAATCCCAAAATATATCAACATAAGCCTGGAAAGTAGCATGGGATTGCAAAAGAGAGTAAATACCTTTTAGTAAAGTCATAACATTTTACTTTAAGAAAAGTTTTTCTCTTCCAGAATGTGTTCTGCCTTTCAAGTCAGGAAGAGAATTATTCTCTGGCCTTAACAAAATAATGTAGCACTTGGGGACAAAGATGCAGCCCAGCAGCCCTGCACTGGAGGCCAAGATGGAGAAGACCTCCATGGTCACCATGGCCTTCCCTTTGCTGCTGTGGTACACGGGCAGGAAGGTGACCCACACACTGCAGAACACCAGCATGCTGAACGTCAGGAACTTGGCTTCATTGAAGGTGTCAGGCAGGTTCCTGGCCAGGAAAGCCACAGTGAAGCTCACCAAAGCCAACAGGCCCATGTATCCCAGGACACTGTAGAAGGCGGTGAGGGAGCCCTTGTTGCAAATAATGATGATGTGACCATGTTCAGAGTGAGCTTCTGTGTCAATGTAGGGTGGATTTGTCCCCATCCAGACTCCACATAGAGTGATTTGGATCAGGGAGCAGATGGGGATGATGAAGTTTGGTGCCCCTGACACCAGCAACTGTCTCATCCTTCTACCTGGGACAGTGGCCTTAAAGGCCAGCACCACAGTAATTGTTTTGGCCAAGACAGTGGAAACAGCCACAGTGAACACAACTCCAAACGTGGTCTGCTGCAGGATGCAGGTGGCTGCGTTGGGTCGACCAATGAAGAGCAAGGAGCAGAGGAAACAGCAGGTGAGGGAGATGAGCAGGGTGTAGCTGAGAGCCCTGTTGTTGGCCTTGACGATGGGAATGTCTCTGTGCTTCACAAAGAGTCCAAGCAGAGCAGCTGATAGAACAGAGAGACTCAGTGCTGCACCAGCTAGAGCTTTCCCCAAGGGTTCTTCATAAACCAGAAAAGTCACAGTTTTGTCCAGGCAATAATTTCTCTGAATGTTGGCGTATTGATGATCTGGACACTTTGCACACTGTTCCACATCTAGCAAAAATGAAAATTGTCATTTGAGTGGGATTATTATTATTTTTTTCACATCGCCATTCTTGGAACTCATGGGACTTTAACTACGTAATCAATGTTCATATTATTCTTGTTTTATTCCCGTCATTCCTTTTTATTCTCTTTCTTTTTCAGCCTGTGCGATTGAACTCAAAGTTGCTCTAAGATATATTTACCACCTTGTTACAATTTTTTATTTTGAGAACAGATCTCTCTGAATCACTATTTTTTCAATGCTTTGTTCCAATGGGAAATCCTCGTTTCTCTACTTCTCAGAGCCTTGAAATCTAGGCATGCATTGTCACACCTCACTGATTTGTTTCTTTCCAGATGCTATATAAAGAAAATCCACACAGAGACTAACTCCTAAGCAATCCTGAATATATGTTATTTAATCCCCTAATAAATCTGGTCTCTCTTTAAAAACTCTGTAGATTTACAAATTAAAAAAAAAGATCTAGGTTTATTCCTTACTTCATATGCTTTAATTATTTGATTTAAATATAAATTTGTATAAACAATTCCCCAGATATTGAATGAATATCCTTATTTTAGGAAGCCAGCATTATTTTCAAAGCCAGAAGGAAACACATATGAAGAATCATATTGATTGTAATGTATTTCTAGTATTGAGACTCTCCATGTTAGAACTTGCTATGTGCAATTACTTATTTAAGTTATACCTTTGAATGGGTATTTTAGTAGTTTGACGTTGGTATCTTTCAAAGTAATTGCAAGACATATCTTTATACGTTTAATGATTTTAAATGCATGAAAATTTAAGTTTGAATAATCTTATCTATGTGGTAAATAGATGTGCTAAATTTATACTACTAGAAACCTTACCAGTTGTGAAATAAATCAGACACACGTGTGCTAACATCATATTGTCTCACTAGTGGAAAAACCTAAAAGTGTAAATAAATCATGAAAGGTACAATAAATACTGTGAAAGGGAGAGAATATATTCAATGAGAAGGAAAATTGCCATAAGGAAAGGTTCTAAAGAAACAAGGAAATGTATATGATAGCTTTGGTCAATTTAGTCCTGATATTTGTTGGTCAATCTCAAAGAACAATAAATGCTCGAATGGTTTCTTTTTTATCTTGCCTCCTAAAATTTTAAGTTTGTATCTTGTTATCTAAACAACTAATATGAATTCAATAATATGTAATAAAATAACTTTTGTCAAGTTCATACTCTTTTGTATTGTGAAAATCTGTATCATTTATAATGTTTTTTCTTTCCCTTTTACTGTTTTGTGTACTCTTTAAAAGACAAATATGAAATTTCATCTATGAGTACTTTATGACTATATTTCTTAAGTGGAAACCTAGCATAACTTCATTCATGCACATGGATTTTATATGTACAAACAGTGTCATTGAAAAATCATTTTTTTCTTTTTCTTTTTTTTTTTCTTTGAGGTACCTGGGATTGTACTTTGGACACTGCACTAGACACAAGCACTTCGATATCCGAGTTATCTCTCCAGGCTCTATCACTGAAAAATTCTATCATTCATGTTTTTCATATATATATAACATTTTTCATAGCATTGACCAGGTTCTAGAGTGTAATGTTTGGCAGAAGCATAACAGAGAAAGTTTGCTATCTCATTCTTGAATCCAAAAACGGACGAAAAACACTAAAGTGTGCCTCAAGAAACTACAAGCACCATTGCAGGGGGCAGTTAGGGCCTTTACCCCATGTCTGTTGTTGTGTCTTTGGAATCACGGTGACGTACAAATTTATTATATTGTCTCCATTTGGTAATGTATTTTTTCTTTTTCCAGTGTCTACAACATTTAATTTTATTTTGTACACTGAGTTTGCGCATGGCATACTGTCCTTGAATAGAAAATGTGAATTTAACGTATAAAAGAAAATGACCATTCAATTTGTTTCTTCTAAGTGTGTTTTCAGCCATGAGTAACATCAGTCATTTCCTTTGTTAAAATGAATTGATTTTCCTCTTTTCCTTTTATGAAAGAATCAAGTCATTTTTAATGATTTAGAATTTTTATTATTTCACTGGTAATATCACCCACAAAACCTTTGAGTGAAATATTACACTATGGACTCTGGAAATGATACTGTGGAGATATTAACACTATGGAGATTTTAAAATTTTCTCTCAGCAGTGTTTTGCGAAGTTTTCCTCTGATTTTATACATTTCCAGGCATGCATTTCTGATAGATTACTTATATTTTCATATGAAAGTTTTTCTACAAAACTATACTAGTATATTATTTTCTTTCATGATATTATATAAACTTTAAATTTTTCTCTTT